GACTGAAAGTGCCCGCCACAATGCCCAGCTATTTTTTTTTTTTGCGGTTTGGCTGGGGCGGGGTTTGAACCTGCCACCCTCGGTATATGGGGCCGGTGCCCTACTCACTGAGCCACAGGCACTGCCCCACATGTTTATTTCTATTGGAAGCTTGCCTTGAGTGCCTAATGGTATATACAACTGCCATCTGGAGATTATATAGGAACTTCACCCTCTTTATGTCCAAAATGTCATACTGATAGCTTCTTCCTAAGGTCTGCTTCCATCCATTCTCCCTTCTATGTACTCTGTTTCAGCAATCCATAGCACTGTCCACCCAGGTTCTAAGGCTCATAAGACAAGAGCTTCTTAGTAAGTTTGACCCTTTCATCTGTCATACTCCATTACATTGGAAACTAAGTTTTCTTCATTATGCACAATAATATATATGTTTGTTGAATCAATAAATGAGCAATCAGCCCTCTGTATCTATGGGTTTTGCATCCATGAATTCAACACCTGTGGACCAAAATTATTGTTAGGCCTACAGTGGTTGCATCTATATTGACCATGTACAGATTTTTTTTTTCTTGTTATTGTTCCCTAAATAATATGCTATATCAACTATTTACATGACATTTACATTGTATTAAGTATTAGAAGTGGAAAGAGGTGATTTACAGGATACCAAAGGAAGTGCATAGGTTATATGCATGTACTATGCTATTATATACATGGGACTTGAGTACCTTCGGATTTTGGTATCTGGGGGGGTTGTGGAACTGATCCCTTGTGGATACCAAAGGAAGACTATAATTGTGACATATTAATTTCTTCTAGAGCAACCTAACCTAGTAATAGTTCTCTAAAAGTTTTAAGAGTTTTGACTTATAAAATAACTATCAGAATAATTTCCTATATATTTGTCCATATCACTCAAGATTGGTTACTTTACATTCATGAGAAAAGTGTCATGGGGAAAATGGTATTAAAAAATGTGACTTCAGGGCAGTGCCTGTAGCTCAGTGGGAAGGGTACCAGCCACATACACTGAGGCTGGTGGGTTCAAACCTGGCCCAGGCCAACTAAACAACAATGACAATTGCAACAACAAAAAAAATTGCTGGGCATTGTGGTAGGTGCCTGTAGTCCCAGCTGCTAGGAAGGCTGAGGTAAGGGAGTCACTTGAGCCCAAGAGTTTGAGGTTGCTGTGAGCTGTGACACCACAGCACTATACTAAGGGCAACATGGTAAGGCTCTGTCTCAAAAAATAAAATTAAAAAAATAAATGTGACTTCAGTCATGAGCAAGCTCACAAGTGACACCTGCTCAAAGGAACCAGATTCTGGAGAACTTTGGCAACTTAGTGTCACAGTTTCTCTATATAACCTAAATTCTGAAAGTAAAGTACCTTCTGTTTCTCATTTCTGAAATATGTGGAGCTTATAAATGGCATTATGGGTTTAGCCTGAAACGCTAAGTATGGATATTCTTTTTTCTCTTTGCTCAGGTGTATGCATAAGCCAAAGGGTCATCACAACTTCTTTTTCACAGGCCAGCTTCCTTGTGCATCCCCAGGAGCTGCACTGTTGTTGCCCTTCAACACTTCATGGAGTCCTAAGGGCTTAGCCTGAATTCTGGGATGCTGCTTTGCCCCCCAACTATAATGTCCAAGTCCTGGATCACTTGTCCATTTGCAAGCTTAAAATCACCAGTTCAAACAAGAAGAGCAATGGATGTTTGAGGGAGAAATGTAAAAGAAAGTTCTCTCAAGGTGAGTAAGCAAGAACCTGGCAGGTATGAATGGGATAAAAACTAATTTTATTGTGAGTTTGTGACCTCTCCGTTTTTTTTTTTTTTTTTTTTTTTTTGCAGTTTTTGGCTGGGGCTGGGTTTGAACCTGCCACCTCTGGCATATGAAGCCAGTGCCCTACTCCTCTGAGCCACAGGCACCGCCCTCTCCAGTTTTTTGAGATTTTCTTCTAGACTTTGTCTTTTGGAGTGATAATGCTGGGAATTCTTTAGAAACCTAAATGACATTTCTAGCTATTCTTCCCAAATCTGTGTTTTCCTTTTCTCAGATTCTAGAGGACTGGTTGTTCCTCTCACCTCTATTCTGGATGCCAGTCTCTCTACTTCATTCGCAGACTCAGTTTTATGATATTTACAGCCTTACTTTCATGTGCGTTCTCCCCTTTGACATTCTACATTTTTTTACTTCTTCCTGTATGCCTAGATTCATTTCCTTAAGCATTCAGGCCTTCACAGATGTTACCTTTCAAAAAACTGTCATGTAAATTATTTTCTTTAAAATATAGTCTTCCTATGTGCAATTATTATGTATCAATCAAAAAATATAGCATATAGATTGATTCTTTTCTTTAAAATTCAACTTTCTATCATTTCTCCCTCCTTCCATTGTTATATACCTCAGAGTTGAATTTTACCCTCTTGGTCTTAGATCCTATTACCTTCAAGATGATAGTTTGATATTTCTTTACCTCCTCCTGCTTTTTAACAATATTCTAGGCTTGGAAATTTGTACTTTGTGCTAGTTCACTTCCCCTGTTTTTTTTTTTTTTTGAAACAGAGTCTCACTTTATTACCCTCCATAGACTGCTGTGGCATCACAGCTCACAGCAACTTCCACCTCTTGCACTTAGGTGATTCTCTCGCCTCAGCCTCCCAAGTAGCTGGAACTACAGGCACCTGCCACAACGCCCAGCTATTTTTGTTGTTGTTGTTGTTGTTGTTGCAGTTTGGCCGGGGCTGGGTTTGAACCCACCACCCTCAGTATATGAGGTTGGCGCCCTACCCACTGAGCCACAGGCGCTGCCCCCCCTGTTACTTTGAGAAGAAATAGTACTATTATTCTTAAATTTAATGTATGTACTTGATAGAAAATTAAAACAATAGGGTATGTCTCCTCATTCCTGGCCCTCAGTTCTTTATTTCTGGTCCCAGAAGCAACCACTATTAAGTGTATTCTGTGTGCTTCTGAATGTTTTTATGAGTATACAAAAAGGCTTTCAGATAGAGCATTAATGTGATTTGATTGAGACAAGATTATTGTGGCTACTGTTCTGAGAAATTGTAAAGCGGTAAAAGGTAAAAGTGAACATAGCAAGACCACTGAGGAGTCTAGGCAAGACATGATTGGCTTAGACCTTGGTGGTCTCAGTGAGTATTGTGAGAAATAGCCAGATTCTGGGCCTGGTTTTGAAGATAAAGCCAATAGGATATGAAGATGCAATGGGTGAGTGGTCTGGTAGAAATAGAAGTGTTGCTTAAGCAACTGGGAGAATGAAGTTACTACTTAAAGAGATGAGAATTGAGAGGAGCCGGTTCAGAAGCTAGAGCTAGGGTTTGGATTGGGCCAATTAATTAGATGCTTATTAGACATCAGGTGGAGATGTTGAGTAGCCAGTAGACTATGTGAATCAGTTATTGAAGAGAGTGGTCCAAGCTAGTGATGAACATTTGTTGGACATCTCAGATACCAAGTAGGTAAAGCGATGAGACAGGACTAAGAAGTACACAAATCATGGTAAAGCTAAGTGATACAACAAACCTCCAAATGTACTGGTTTAATGTACTAGGTATATTTTGAGGTTTGTTAAACCTCTTGGTCACATAACAGTCATGTGGTGAGTCCAGATTTGCATGGTTACTTTGTTGTTTTTTTTTTGAGACAGAAGCCTTAAGCTGTCCCCCTGGGTACAGTGCCATCACATCTCAGCTCACAGCAACCTCCCACTCCTGGGCTCAAGAGAGTCTCCTGCCTCAGCCTCCCAAATAGCTGGGACCACAGGCGCCTGCCATAACACCCGGCTATTTTTTGGTTGCAGCCATCATTGTTGTTTGGTGGGCCCGGGCTGGATTCGAACCCGCCACCTTAGGTGTACGTGGCTGGCACCTTAGCCACTTGAGCCACAGGCGCCAAGCCTGCATGGTTACTTTGGTCTTTGTCCTTCACAGATCCAAATTCCTCCCAGCTCATCTCTATTATCTGGTTGTGGTTGGTGCTGGATCTACAAAACTTCCTGGTTCCAGCTAGATGGAAGAGGGAGAAATTGATACTCTAGGACAAGCAGTTAACAAACTTTAATATAAAGGGCCAGCTAGTAAATATTGAGTTGTCATAGGCCATAGGATCTCTGTTACACCTACTTAACTCAGGCATTGCAGTGTGAAAGTGTCACAGACCAGAAAATGAATGGACAAGAAAATGAATGAATGTGGCAATGGTCCTAAACTCACAAAACAGGTGGCCCACCTGTAATTCCAGCCCTCTGGGAGGCGGAGCCAAGTGGATTGCTTGAGCTCAGGAGTTTGAGACCAGCCTGAGCAAGACAAAGACCCCATCTCTAAAAATAGCCAAGTGTTGTGGTGTGCACCTATAGTCCCAGGAAATTGCAAGCTGAGGCAAGAGAATCACTTGAGCAAGAGTTTGAAGTTGCAATGAGCTATGATGCAATGGCACTTTTGCCCTAGGGCAACTAAGACTGTGTCTCAAAAAAAAAAAAAAATTCACTTGCCATTAGAGTATTTTGATTTGTATTTTGAAAATGTTTTTTAAACCATGAGGTAAATGCAGTTGGAACACCCTTTTACCTGGTATTCAGATATACCTAGTAGTCAGATGACTTTGTCCAATTCAGATGACTTTGCCCAATATTGTCATTTACAATATGAAAAATTCAATTCTGATAAGTACATAAAGGTGGTTGATGTAATACCTATAAAAATATGAGGGGATTTAATTAGAAGGGAGATATAATTTTTTGTTTTCTTTTGGCTTGTTCAGGTAACAGTAGCTTAAATCTCCTGTTCTGTATGATACTTTCTAAAGTTTAATGAATTCAAAAAGTAATTGGGAAATTTAAAATAATGATACTATTATCTATTAAAAATTTATTAAATTTCACCTATTAAGATGTCTATGCCTTTAGCTTAAGGGTAGTGAAATGCCTTCACAACTGTCTTTGTTTTTTTTTCTATGTTTATTTTATTTATTTATTTATTTATTTATTTTGCAGTTTTTGGCCAGGGCTGGGTTTGAACCCACCACCTCTGGCATATAGGGCTGGCGCCCTACTCCTTTGAGCCACAGGTGCCACCCCTATTTCTTTTATTTTTTTAAGACAGAGTCTCACTATATCACCCTCAGTAGAGTGCTATGGCATCACAGCTCACAGCAACCTCAAACTCTTGGGCTTAAGCAATTCTCTTGCCTCAGTCTCTCAAGTAGCTGGATCTACAGGTGCCTGCCACAGTGCCCAATTTGTTGTTGTTGTTGTTGTAGTTGTCATTGTTGTTTAGTAAGCCTGAGCTGGGTTCAAACCCCCCAGCCCTGGTGTATGTGGCTGGCACCCTAACCACTGAGCATAAGTCTCTGTTTATTTTTGTTTTCTAGTTTCAGTTTTCTATCTTTTCTAGATTCAGTTTCCATAGGTTACACTTGTGAAGTTTTCATATTTATTTGCATGGGTTGAGCAAAATATTCCCTACAATCATCTGTAGTTAATTTCAAATAATCTTTGTCTGGATAACAAAGATTATTTCAAATAATCTTTGTCTGGATAATAATCTTTGTCTAATAACTTCCCATTTCCATTGGGAATGTTGGGGGCATCAGCTGCTCATTTTATAATCAATTTATAAGCCCTACTTTCTTCTCTTGCCTGGTCTCTGCAGTTATAGACCCTCTCTGAAAACATCTGTGTTGGCTGGGCTTAGTAGCTCATGGCTGTAATCCCAGCACTCTGTGAGATGGAAGCAAGTGTCTCCCTTGAGCTCAGGATTTCAAGACCAGCCTGAGCAAGTATGAGACCCTGTCTCTAAAAAACAAAACAAACAAAACCAGCCTAAACAAGATTGAGACCCTGTCTCTACTAAAAATAGAAAAATTAACCAGACATTGCAGTGGGTACGTTTAGTTCCAGCTACTTTGGAGGCTGAGGCAGGAGGATCGCTTGAACCCTGGAGTTTGAGGTTGTTGTGAGCTGAGCTGTTGCCATGGCACTCTAGCCTGGGCAATAGAATGATACTCTGTCTCAAAAAAAAAAATCTATGTCACACATTACCTTGTTTCTAGCTGTCATCCTTATCTGCTTGCTTTTTATTTAAGCCATTCTGTTCTAATTCATTTACAGTCCTCTGTTTTCCTTACATATTTCCCAATACTTTTCATCCACTGGTATCTCTTTCAGAGTTTTTTTGTTTGTTTGTTTGTTTTGTTTTGAGGCACTCTCACTCTATGCACTGGTATCTCTTTCAGGGTTGTTTTTGTTTTGAGGCAGTCTCACTCTGCACCATGAGTAACGAGCCATGGCCTCGTCATAGCTCACAGCAAGCTCACACTCCAAGGCTCAGGTGATCCCCTTGCCTCAGTCTCCGCAGTAACTAGGACTACAAAGCACCTGCCAGAATGTGCAGTTAGTTTTCTCTCTTTTTTTTTTTTTTTCAGTACAGATGGGGTCTTGTGCTTGCTCAGGCTGGTCTCAAACTCTTGAGCACAAATAATCCACCTGCTTCAGCCTCCCAGAGTCCTAGGATTACAGGAACCTTTTAGTTTTATGAGTGTGTGCCTCTCTTTATCCTTTTACTGTCATTTTAATGGAGGTTGAAGAAGACATAGAAATAAATAAATACTTTGTTTAAATGTTTATGTTCATTTTATTTTTGTCCCATTCTAGGCCCTTTAAGTTTTATGTGTTTGTCCTTTTATGCTGTTTGTTGCCTATTCCTGATTTTTTCTCTTACTTTACTGATTGATGAAGTGTGCAAGGTTACGTTTATAAGCAGTGAAAAGGTAGCTCACAGCTATAATTCCAGCATTTTGTGAAGTCAAAGTGGGAGGATCCCTTGAGGTGAGGAGTTTTAAACCAGCCTGGTCAATGCAGTAAGATCTTGTCTTTACCAAAAAAAAATTTTAATTAGGCAGGATTAGTGGCTTGCTTCTGTAGTCACAGCTACTTGGGAGGCTGACATGGGGATTAAGGATGTTTGCTTATGCCTGGGATGTAAGGTTGCGGCGAACTATGATTGTGCCACTGCCTTCTGGGCTAGGTGACAGGGCAAGACCTTGTCCTAAGGGAAAAAAACCCAAAAAAACAGTTAAAGTTACATGTACCAATGAATGTTAATTGCATTTGAGCTTTGAGGTTTTTAGTCGCCCCCCACCTCTTTTTTTTTTTTTTTTTTTTTTTTTGGTGAGGTGGGGTCTCACTCTGTCACCTAGGCTAGAGTGCAGTAGTGCATAGCTCAGTGTAGCCATGAATTCCCAGGCTCAAGGGATTTTCTCAACTCAGCTTCCTGAGTAGCTGGGACTGCAGGTGTGCACTACCACAATCACCTAATTTTGTTGTTGTTTTAGAGATAGAGTCTCACCTTGTTGCTCAGGCTATAAAATCTTTCTTTTATACTGAGAGATTGGACTTGAATAAAGAGTCTATTTTACAATAGCACACTTCTGAAATGTAATTAATAATGGGAAAATTTGCAGGTGTTTGTGCCATTATATTAATGATAATTTATTGGATACTTTACTGCATGTCAGATGCTAAATATTTTACACTTATTAACTATTTTTCAGTGATGATATTTTTGTACTTCTTTTAGAAACCTGGGAAGTTTATAAACAGATAAGGACACAACATGAAAGATTTGTGGCTTTAAATCTCATCTTTCTCTGTGAAAAAATACTTTTCTCTGAGGAAAAGTTTAGAAAACCTAGGAAACAGGAAACAGTATTTCTTCTGAACACCGTCACTGGTTCTTCAAGACTTCAATTCTTTTTGTATGGGACTCAATTTAAAAGAGTTTGCAATGTAATTTATATATATGCATAATTTATTAAATAAGAGAAAAGCTGCATAAGAAAGAACCATTAAGAATATAAAGACTATGCTGTTTTTCATCTGTTTTTCTCATCTTGGGGTAATCCATGTGAGAAGTCTTCTATCATAAATTTAACTTCTTTAGATACCTGAGAATTAATATTGAAAAGAAACAATATTAATTTAGTGGATATGGAAAAGCTTTTGTCCTTATTACATCTCAATAGATACTTGGAGAAAACTTGTGTGCATTATAGGAATGCTGGAAATCCTTCAGCATGAATCAGACCTTCAGCATGATCAGATTCATACTGGAGAGAAACCTAATGAATGTAGAAAAATCTTTAGCCTGAAACAAAACTTCACAGAGTGTAAGAAAATGCATACTAGAGAGAAATCACATGAATGTACTGAATGTGGTAAAGTCTTTGCTCGAGTCTCATCCCTTACTCTCCATTTGCGAAGTCACACAGGGAAGAAATCATACATATGTAATCAAAAATATGGAAAAGCCTTCAGCCAGAAGGGAAAAGTCCTTCCTCATCAGAAACATCATACTGGAGAGAAAGCCTACGAATGTGGGAAAGCTATTCAGATGCCAACCCTCGTTACACACCAGAATAATCATACAGGAAACAAACCCTATGCATGTAAGGAATGTGGGAAAGCCTTTAATGGCAAATCATATCTCACTGAACATGAGAAAATTCATACTGGAGAGAAACCATATGAATGTAATCAATGTGGAAGAGCCTTCAGCCAGAAGCAGTACCTTGTTAAACATCAGAACATCCATAGTGGAAAGAAACCTTTCAAATGTAATGAATGTGGGAAAGCCTTTAGCCAGAAGGAAAACCTCATTATCCATCAAAGAATCCATACTGGAGAGAAACCTTATGAATGTAAAGGGTGTGGGAAAGCTTTTATTCAGAAGTCAAGCCTCATTAGACACGAGAGAAGTCATACTGGAGAGAAACCGTACACATGTAAGGAATGTGGGAAAGCCTTCAGTGGCAAATCAAATCTCACTGAGCATGAGAAAATTCATATTGGAGAGAAACCCTATAAATGTAATGAATGTGGAACAATCTTCAGGCAGAAGCAATACCTCATTAAACATCACAACATTCACACAGGAGAGAAACCGTATGAATGTAATAAATGTGGGAAAGCCTTCTCTTGGATCACATCACTTATTGTACATGTGAGAATTCATACAGGAGATAAGCCTTATGAATGTAAGGTGTGTGGGAAAGCCTTCTGTCAAAGCTCATCTCTTACTGTGCATATGAGAAGCCATACAGGTGAGAAACCCTATGGTTGTAATGAATGTGGGAAAGCCTTTTCTCAGTTCTCAACTCTTGCTCTACATATGAGAATCCATACTGGTGAAAAACCTTATCAGTGTAGTGAATGTGGGAAAGCTTTTAGCCAAAAGTCACATCACATTAGACACCAGAGAATTCATACTCATTAAAGCTCTATGAATGCCTTGGATTTAGGAAACCCTTTAGCACAATTTACACTTAATAATGTTTCAGAAAATTCATTTTACATTAAGTGACATCAATGTAGGAGATCTTTTAGCAGCAATTCAAAATTTAAAATACTGTACATTTAATAAGAATTATAGTATAGTGAAATCCTGTCAACTCCATAAAACTCCTACCACAAACATTACTAATGCTGTAGTTTAGGATTATTTTCATTGAAGTTTGAATCCAGTCATGGATACTAAGTAACTTGTTCATAGAGTCCTACCAGATGTATTAAGAAAAGAGGTATAAGAGGGGCAAGGATTTGAAATTAAGAGGCAAAATTATTGACTTTTTATATGTTTTGATACATACATGATTTTTAAATCTATGATCATCAAAATTGTTGTTGAAGTAGTCATAGGAAATTGAGATTATGGCAGAATAGTGAACTCAGAAATATATCCATGAATTTTGGGGGAATTGGTAATTGATAGAGGTAGTACCCCAAACTGGTGGGCAAATCATGAATAATTTTTAAAAATGGTCTCAGGGTAATTGAGTCCTTATATGGAAAAGTAGTAGATTTCTACCATCATCATAAATTCAAAAATTTCTTATTTTTTTTATTAGTTCCAAATGTACTAAAGACTAAAATGCAAAAAGTAAAAACTTTGTAAGAGTTTTATAAGAGAATGTTTTAAAATCTTGGGTAGGAAAGAATTTCTGAAACATTCCAGAATACCCAGAAATTCCGCTCTTTAGTACAGTAGTACCCCTTTTTCTGTAGGCGATGTGTTCTAAGATCACGGGTGGGTACTTGAAACCTCCATAGTACTGAACCTTACATGTACTTTGTTTTTCTCTTATATATACATACCTATGATAAAGTTCAGTTTGCAAATTAGACACAGTAAAAGGGCAGTCATAACCATATACTGTAATAAATGTTATGTGAATCTGGTCTTAAAATACTTTATTCTACTTTACTTACCTATTTTTGGATTATGGTTGACCATGAGTTAACTGAAACCGTGAAAAGTGAAGCCACAGATAAGGGTAACTATTATAGATATACATATACCCAAGAAACTGACACATGCACACAGGGAGTTATATACTAGTCTGTAGTTGTGTGATTCATTGCAGTATGAGTTATAGTAAACAAAAATTGAGATACAAATGCCTGTCACTTGTGAAATAAATGAATAAAATGTGATATAGTAATAATAGATACTCTAGCAGTTAAATACAACAAATTAAGTCTAGATGTATTAAAAGACAAAGATCAAAGAAACCATGTACCATGAAGAAAAATGAAGTGATAAATATATTATAATGATATGTATGTGAATTTGTATAAAATCAGTACTAACAACCCTAACACCAAATATTGTTTCTGGAAAAATTTTTATACAAAACTATAAAGAATGAGTTGGAAGGATACTTACTCAGTTCCTAAAAGTGGTGCTGCTAGGAAGAAGGGAGATGGAAGGGAAATGTAATCAAACATAGGAGTTAAAACATACTTCAGTTTTATATCTGAATATCAATTTCTCATTAAAAAGAAGTACAGATTCCAGCAAATGTAAAAAGTATTAATTTTGGATTGTGGTAATGTATGTGTTCATTCTGTTTGTGCTGTTGCTTTTCTTAAACTTCTGAAAATTAGGAAAGTACCTATAAGAGTACCTTCCTATGTATAGGAAGCTATACACGAAATACATATTGTAATGGACTTAACATTCCCAGCCAGATGCTAATATTTTATACAAACTACTACTACAATCAGATCTTTAGTTTAAAATATGAAGTAATTTGGGCCAGGTGTGGTGGCTCACACCTGTATTCCTAGCACTCTGGGAGGCTGAGGCGGGTGGATAGCTTAAGCTCATGAGTTAGAGACTAGCCTGAGTGAAGGCAAGACCCTGTCTCTACTAAAAATAGAAAAAAAACAGGCAAGAAGATTGCTTGAGCCAGAGTTTGGATGTTGCTGTGAGCTATGACACCACGACACTCTACCCAGGGTGACAGCTTGAGACTCTGTCTCAAATAAATAAATAAATAAATAAAATATGAAGTAATTTGTAATTGGTTGGCAATTGATTGCTTTACACAATAACTTGTATAGAGAAAGCTGTCAGTGCTCTTTTTTTTTTTGAGACAGCCTCAATTAGTGAAATATATTCTTGTGTATCACATTACTGCTCTATACATAGTCTCTAGTCAGACATTATAGCCTGGCTTGCAACAGGTTGGTTGTGTCACATACACTTAAGTATCATATTAAGTCACAGACTTGGAGAAAATTAGGTTTTATCAAAACCTTTATCAGAAATTTTAACACCCTCTATAACCAATATTGGCATTAGAAATTGGACTCTTAGAGACAAGAGTCTCAATGCAACCTCAAACTCTTGGCTCAGATGATCGTCCTGCTCTAGGCTCCCAAGTAGCTGGGACTACTACAGGCCATGTGCAAACAAACCTGGCTAATTCAAATTTTTTTCTAGAAATAGGGTCTTACTATGTTGCTCAGGGTGGTCTCAAAACTCCTGGCCTCAAGCATTCCTCCTATCTCATCCTCCCAAACTGCTGGGATTAGAGGCATGCCCAGAAATTAGACGTTTAAAAAATGTCTATGTCACCTGTAAATTTTTTTAATAAGACATTGACATCAACTTCTGGATTTCAGCTTCAATTTTAACTTGCAGACTAATTTCTTTTTCTCTATTCTCTCAGACACACCCAATGTCCACTTCCCTTGTTTACTTGGGGAATATCATGCTGAAAAGGGAGATCTCAGACTTAGTATTTTGTTATCAATTTTTTTTTTTT